GGGGCTGACAGCCTGGCTGGGGCAGATTACCTAACCTGCTCCCGTGAGAGCTGCCTGCTGCAAGGAGAACTCATCCTGCTGACGGATATCATTCTTCCAGACAGGGCTGGCATTATTGCTTCTGTCTTGTAAATTAAGAAAACTAACTCGGGAAAGCAGAAAAAATTAATAGAAATAGTGTTGCTATTTTATTTCTTATTGAGTAAAATTATTATAATATTGTGAGAAATTATTAAAAGCACACATATTTTATCTGTATGTCAGTTCTTCTTTTCTTTTTTCTTAAGGTTCTAAACCAGGAATTGACTATTTGGCATTGGATATCAATAAATCTAAATGCATAGTCTGAGACTCCATGTCGATCAGACGCCTCTAAGCAGAAGTGAACTACTGTAGGACTTCGTGCTCGTCCATCAGTATATCTGAATGATGCTGTCATCAGCATAAAAGACTTCAGGCATTTCAAATCCACCCTAGAATCATAGAATGGTTTGGGTTGGAAGGGATCTTAAAGATCATCTAGTTCCAACCTCTCCACTACACCAGGTTGCCCAAAGCCCCATCCAACCTGGCCTTTAACACTTCCAGGAAGGGAGCCTCACCAACCTCACAGTAAAGAATTTCTTCCTAATATCTAATCTAAATCTAGTCTCTTTCAGTTTAAAGCCATTACCCTTTGTCCTATCATTCAGATACTGAAGGCTGCTCTAAGGTCTCCCTGGAGCCTTCTCTTCTCCAGGTTGAACAACCCCAACTCTCTCAGCCTGTCTTCACAGGAGAGGTGCTCCATTGCTCTGATCATGTTTGTGGCCCTTCTCTGGACTCTCTCCAACAGCTCCACATCTTTCTTGCACTGGGACCCCAGAGCTGAACGCAGTACTCCAGGTGGGGTCTCACGAAAGTGGAGTAAAGAGGGCGAATCAACTCCCTCAGCCTGGTGGTCACACTTCTTTTGATGCAGGCCAGGATACAGTTGGCTTTCTGGGCTGTGGGTGCACATTGTCAGGTCACGTTGAGCTTCTCATCAACCAACACTCCCAAGTCCTCCTCCTCAGGGCTGCTCTCAATCCATTCTCCCCTCTGCCTGCAGTTGTGCTTGGGATTGCCCTGACCCATGTGCAGGACTTGGTCTTGTTGAACTTCATGAGTTTTGCATGGGCCCACCTCTCAAGTCTATCCAGGTCCCTCTGGATGGCATCCCTTCCCTCCAGCGTGTTGACTGCACCACACAGCTTGGTGTCGTCGGCAAACTTGCTGAGGGTGCACTCGATCCCACTGGCCATGTCGCCGACAAATACGTTGAACAGGGCCGGTGCCAGTACCGACCCTGAATCAACACCCTGCTACGGGGCCCGAGGGCAAGGTGCGCTGGGCGCAGGACCAGCTCAAAGAGCCCTAGTGCACCACGCTGATCGCCCACGGATCACAGAGTCCAGTTAATGCGGATGAGAATGACAGCCTGGGCATTCGGCAAGTCAGATTACAACTCAGGTATGACATGCCTTTCCCTTAAATTATAAACTTCGCTTCAGTGCGGCATTTTTAAATGGAAATAGAATAAAGAGGGAGGGGAGGAAAGAAAAGAGCAGCAAGAAGAAGGAGAAAGGCATCTTTTGTATTTTGTCTGCAGCTTTACAAAAAACTTGGCAGAAAAAACATTTGAAGTATATGATTTTTCCGGCATTAGTTTGTTCAGTCTGAAGTGCTCTTCTAAAGGGAAACTTGGCAGATATTTAAGAAAAACCCTGACAGCAGTTTTAATAACGTGAAATATGAACACAAACCCTTATATAAATGAGGCAGGTCCCATGACATCAGCAGGTTTGGGGAGATAAATTTCACTTAAAGGAACTCACTTTTCCTCATTAACTCAATGCTTATGTACTCGTATACAATGAGTTATTTGAATGAGTAAGGATTAAAACACTTATTCCAGAATAAGAGCGCCAGTGCCCGGAATGAGCCAGGAATAGCTTCCCTGGTGTAGCAGCTCTTCGGTTGTGTGCGAGGAAGACAGAAACAAATTATGTTCCCACAACAACAAAACCAGAGGGAAATGCTGACAAGCTCCATCTCAGAGCAAGCAGGAAATGCCATCTTCTTTTCCCAGAGAGCAGATCTGATGCCTTATTTTCAAATACATTCTTTTTATTTATATTACTAACAGTGCTTCAGAAAGCACAAAAGAGCGTTTGATTTGAAATCAGACTAGTTTTCTAACATTACAGATTGTTTTCATTCACCAATTTGAGCGCAGACACAGTGGAAGTGCTGACACATGTTTGGGTATGTGCTGCTCAACTCGAGCAACGCGGTGGCAGGATCACAACTCCTGCTGGAAACCAGGCGTTTCCTAGCAAGAGGGTAACGAGTGAAGCTGCAGTGAACTGTTCTTCAGAGACAACACGGTGAGTGAAGGCATCGCAGTGACAACCTCAGAGTTATAAAAAGCCTCGTTGAGCTTTTTCCTATTCCTTCCCAAAGAGAAATCTCTCTCTCCCCAACTTGGGGGAGATCCAGAACAGACAAATCCTGAGATGAGACAATTTTCTGTTTGTTTTCTGTGTTCCAGTCTAAGGTTGATAAGTTTTTTTAGAGCGAAACCATTGGCAGGAAAAGCTGGGCGCTTACATGAATTTCCATCATATTTGCAAACATCAGAAAAGGGTGCCTGTGAAGATGGAATATGAGTGGTTACCGCTGGTCTTCCCTGGTTGTCACCTGATTTTGTTTCAAGGGGACTGGTTTAAAAATATGTGGAAACATGGATGGACTGCCACAATTTTTCTGCTCCTGTGAATTATTCACAATGTGATGTTAAATGTGAAATTTGCATGACTTAAACGTATGATGTCAGTGTAAATGTAAGAAAGGCAGAAAACCTGCTTCTTATTAACTGGGGATGTTAAAATAACAGGACTTAAATGTATTAATTTCCTGTTAAACTGCAGTGGACTGCTGAAGAGGTACTTGTCATTTTTAAAAAGAGGCATTTCTGGGATGGGTTGTACAATTTGCATAATGTTATTTCAATTAAGAAAGCTCTTACCTTCAGTACACATTAAAAAAAAATAAATGAGTAAAAAAAATTACAAAAAAATCTTATGGACCCACTTTCTGCTCTGGTTATAGTAGTATAAACAAAAACCAGTTTTGCCTTAAGTATGAGATTTTCAATGGTATTTGTTGCTATTGTTGCAAAATGACTTTTATTTTGGCATTACAAAATAGAAAATTAAATTTGGAACATCTAAATATAAATCACTTTTATAAATGTCAAATGTTTTTACAATTTTTCTTCACAGATAAATTTGAAATGTTGAGTAAAACTCAACATTGGTTCTATCAATAGCAAATTTCAAAATCTAACACAAAAATGAATTTTCTCTTTCACACTGCTGCAGTGTTCTTGTAATGCCATGGCCCAGAGACAATCACATTTCATAAATACAAGCTTCTGAGCAAGATTTATCTCATGGGCTGAAGAATTCCAAGAAGAATGCCAAGGCTGCTTTTCCAGCATTATGAACATACCACAGATCAAAATGTATAGCTTACTTGAAAACACTGCCTGTATACAGAAGTGCTTGTGATTATTTAAGTTTGAAGGATAGCTTCTTGCAGTAAAATATTTAGTTGTGTAAAATCTTTGCATTAGTTTGACAGAGCAAAGCACATCACAGGCACATTATGCTAGAGAATTCCTTTAGGAGGAGCAGAAACTCAATTACAAAGTAAGGGAAATAAAGAAAGAAGTCAATTATAGGGGAAAGTAAGAAAAATCTTCCAAGAAAAGTTTTGTTACTCAGGGGACTTTATAAATTGATGAAAATAGCAGGGATTTAGGAAAGAAATGCTCACAGAAAATAAAACAAATTTTCGAATAATCTCTGATCATTTCAGAGCATTCTCTTATTAGAAACATGAATTACAAAGGCAGAAACAACCCTCGGCAGAGAAACAACATGTTTTGCAGGGATCTTTGCTGAAACAAGGGCAGCCATTACATAATGAAAGTGGACCTTTAGACAAAAATTATCTTTATAGCAATAAGACAATAATTACCTTGGCGTATATGCAGCTTTCATTGAGTTTTTGTAGTGTGCAATTGCGTTCGCACATAGGGCACATGATGGTTTCATTTGCCTCGCAGATCTCTTTGCTTTAGTATGAGACAAGAAAACAAAGGTTATAAAAAGGCTTTTAGCATTCTTATGATTTTCTGAGGTTATGCTGTTTGTGGTCTCTATTTGTTAACAGCATGCCTACACCGCAAAACTGGCTTAATAAAATAAATTAAAAGTGAATGTTTGGCTTGAAAAGCCTAATCCCAAATCAGTAATCTTAAAATTACAGCCCGTAGAGTAGTATGCAATATTTTGGGCCATTCTCAACACTTGTGAATATCCCATTCTCTCTTAAATATCACAAATGGAAGAACAAAACATTGTTCACTACCTGCCAACTCATTTACTGCATATTTATCATAGCGATGTAGAAGATACCAGACGTTAAGAGGATGGACATTGCTGGTATAACTACACAGATTTCAACCAACTTATCCCAGTTTACATCGGCTGAAGGTCGGTTCCACAGGATGATCGCATGCACACTTAGATCAGTTGGTCACATGTAAAAAATCACTGACAGGGATTTCTGGCAGTAGAATTTCAAGTCTCTGCATTTTTATTTCCTACAGGAGAACTTATGTATAGGGCTAATAAAAAACATTTTAATATCCTAAGTTTGGGGAAAAATATCTTCAAACCACATGCTACTGCTTAAAGATCCTAAGATTCAGGAAGATGAAGTCACTGCCTTCATTGGGACCATTCATATTCAAAATCAATACGTAAGTGCCTTGACAAAGGCAAACCAGAATTAACAGAAGTGCAAAAATTAATTTTAAGGCCTATTTTAATTGCAGTGAGTAAGCTTCTCAAAGAACCTCAGCAATCCTGTTTCCCTATCCTTTAGCAATGTTGACATGCTTAAAATGATCCTATGACACACTAGGAAAGTAGCGGTATAAACAAATGCCAGGAAATCTCTACTGATTTGTTTTAATAAACATTGCGCTTTCAGTCTCCTCCTCATAAAAGCTGAATTTACAGTTGTAATGCCGTATGGAAGATTATGCTTATTTCCAAATGAATGCATCTATTAAATCCTGACATAACAGTAAACAGAAATAAAAGATCCTGGTTGTCCAGATGTCACTTTTGTAATCTTTGGTCACACTTCACAAAAAATCAGAATCACTAATTCACTGAAACCCTCCAACCTAATGTGGATCTGACAAAGAAATTGTCCTAAATAACCCTTAAGCCAGAATGAGCAGAGCCAGTCATTTCAGAGTTGCAGAAATCTTACAGTGTGTCACATCTGAGAATCTTCTTGCTTGCATTTTCCTTCAAATGATTAAGCACAGAAAATCATATTTCAGCAATGTGGTATAATGGTTTGGCAATAATATAAACCGTTGTCAAATATAAGGCCAAATTGTACTGCACTTTGAATTTAAATTCGACACTGTAAGTGTTAGATTTTTAGTAATATATATCTTGAGTTAAAAATCTTGGTTTGTGTTTAACAACACAGGAAGTTTCAGAAAATTATACTGACAGTGACAGGTCACACGCTTTAGCACTGCTCTGCAAAGGCAATAACATTTGCTACACAAGCGTTCGTGACAGGTGCTATTGTTAACTGTTACTGCAATTCAAATCTCCAATGTAAAAGAGCAAAATAAGCTTCTTTGTACTGTCCTCACATATATCTGAAATCTGACTACAGCACGTGCTGCGAAGCCACCTGAAGCTATGCCGTGTTTGTGCCTGGCCTTTCTGTTTGACTGACAGCAAAGGGACAACTAACAACAGTGATAATTAATGATACGTATAAACCCGTCAAAACCAAACTCTTTACAAGCATCAGATTTATTTTTATATAGTCTAATCAACATTTAACAGCTTGACATCTAACTTGAGTATAAAGACAGGTAACAGATAGGGCACATAACTTGTGGAAAGAAAAGAACCCAAATGAAGGCACTTCTAAAGGATGATTTAAGCTTTCCCATGTGACAACCACCCCACAAGCTCCCTGGTTTCGCTCAGGGAGGGCAAACAGATCAAAACATATTTGAAAGTATAGGAAACAAGAAATACAAATTCATGTTCCTCATTGTTGTTTCTGCATGTCTGAGCCCTGCAAATATAATCCAAATACTCCGGAAGCTACTATGGTGTTTCTTCAACAGACACTCCATGGATTTTTCTCTTGGTTACCTTCATTTCACAACTGAATCCTGCAACTAGCTGCCAACACTATAATCTCAGTACCTGGAGGACCTCAGTGCTGGCTTCTGGCAACCACAGTATTATTAAGCTTTATTGCAAACTCACACAAGAAAAAGAGCATCCTCCATTCCAACCTGCTTGCAATAACACTGCCCGTCATACTCACCTGTTTTGTGATAGGAAAGAAAAACATCCCTGATCCTGTAGAATGGAGAAACTTCTGTTTCTGAACATGGGACACGCATGCATATTTGCTTATAATAGTGTCTAGTCCCTGATACCACAAAGTGTATGCAGGTTTTTTGTCTTCCCATCTTATTTCACCTTCCTCCTCCCTGTACAATACATTTGAATCATCGAATGATTCAATCAGACCTGAAAGTTTATTGTTTCCCTAAAACTGTAACTGAGGAAAGGACAGAGAGACTACGACAAGGAGTACAAGGCAGAGTGAGAGGGGCCCTCCCCCTGGGAAAGAAGGAGGGGTACGACCAAAAGGGAGCAAATAGGCTCCATTTCCAACTTGCTTGCGGCAGCCACAGGTGAACTCGACAGAGCATCTTTCCTTTACACAGGCAGCAGGGACTGATGGCCTCCTGCCAGGCAGAGATGGGGTCCCAGCACAGGCTGAGATATAGAGATATATATATTTAGATAATTTTATATA